CCCCAAAACCCCAAAACCCCAAAACCCCAAAACCCCTAATTTATAATTTCTATTTGAATGTTATTAATTATTATACAATATGAAACTCAAGGGCAGAAGGCTCTATAATCCTCAGTCAAGGGAGAAGGAAGAATTCAAAAGGTAATTTTCGTCTATAAATCTCTAGAGAAATTAAAAACGTCATTAATCACAGTAAATCATTCAAATCTTCCTTCGGGTCATCCCTCAAGGACTTTAAGTAAGGCAAGGAAATTTATTGATTCTAGAGTTATCAAAGAGATTGGAAGAGGCGCCTACGGGACGGTTTATAAAGTCCAGAGCTATATAGATCGTAATACATACGCTTTGAAATAAAATTAATGAGATCAATGTACTTTTTGGTCATATTTTAGAAAACTCAAAAAGCCTCTGCTTTGAAGGAAGTCAAAATACTGAAGAGGATGAATCATCCTAACATAATTCGGTAGGTAGAGTTGCCAGTGTTAATCTTTTGTTCTGACCATGACTTATGTCTAGGTACTATCACTCCTTTGTGGAATATGACAACCTCTATATTCTGATGGAATATGCAGATGGAGGCGACCTTTATCATAAGATGAAAGAGTATAAGAGCATGAATAAATAAATGGACTGAGAAAGAAATCTGGTGTTTTGCATATGAAATTCTTCTTGGGATTGAATATCTTCATGCTAAAAATATCATTCATAGGGATGTTAAAACTTTAAATATTTTTATAACTGAAGATAAGCATATTAAGCTTGGTGATCTTGGAGTTTCAAAGATTGTAAATTCTATGATACCTTTGCAAGGGACCAGAGTTGGAACTCCTCTTTATTTGGCTCCGGAGTTGATACGGCATCAGCCTTATAGTTTTAAGATAGACATCTGGGCGATAGGATGAGCATTATATCATATAATGTGATTTGAACCTCCTTTCATTGGAGAGAATTTATTCATCCTTGGAAACACAATTGTGCATAATAAACCTAAAGGGATTCCGAAGAATTATAGTACAAAATTATCATTGTTCATCGAGAAATTACTAGCAAAAAGCACTGACAACCGTCCTTCTGCAAAAGAGGCACTACGAATGGTACCAAAATCTATTAAGAATCTCGATCACTTTAAAGTAAAGAAGAACATGGACAGTAGCAATTCAGAGATTAACGCCACTACTCCTTATGATTCTTCTCCTAAGGGAAATAGGATCCATAATGTTATTTCCAAGCAAGAAGATTCAAAAGCACGACCAATCTCTGCAGCAGTAATTCGTTCACCAAATGTTAAGATCAAGGAACCAGTTAGGAAGGAGTTCAAAATTTGAGATCTTAAGGATGAAAATAAAATAAAAGACATATTTGATAAAAACGAGTATCAAGATCATGAAAGTTCACCTCTTAATTTAAATAAGGAGCCATCTTTGCCTATCAAAGTTGCAGCAGACAAAGCTCTGTCTTTTTATAATAAGAAGAGTCAGAAGAGCTTCAATATCAAGCGTCTATCCTGTGATGACCAGGATAAGAAGGCAATAGATACTTCTTCTGATTCTAAAATTTGAATTAATGTAGCCACAGCAATTCCAGCTCCAATTAATAAATCAAAGAATAGGTACGCAAATTCAACACCAGGAGAGCGCTTGACAATAAATAAATCTGCAAAGTCAAATACTGGTCTTCAGTCTAAGATTACTCAAGCAAGAAATTTGAACCAACCTGCTAAGAACAATTTGTTCAAGGGAGAGAGTTTTCAAATAACTCCTACTGTTGGCAAAAATGATATGAAGTTACCACCTAAAGCACGGAAAGGTATCTTTTGCTCATTCTCTCTTAAATATGTATAGATAATCAGGGCAGAATCATCCTAGATCAAGGCCCAATCCCACAGACTTGCTTCACAACGATTGCGAACCGTAATATTACTGCTGAAAGTAGGGTTTATAAGCAGGGAAAAGTATTAGTAAGGCTATAAATATTTTCGCTACTTAAAATTTTAGCTGTCTTAGATTACAGATAATTCAGCAGTAATTTTTATTCCTCAGCATGCCTAGAATATAATGTGCGACCATAATATCCTCAGTGTTTCTACAATACCAGAACTTTAATCTTAAATGATCTAAGATACATCTTTCATAACCATAAAAATTGAATTAAGAGAAAAGGTTTCTAGTGACTAAGCCAGTTCGATTTTGATTTGATAGATGGAAATAAGGAGATGTTTCCCTTTCATCTTTAGATTTTAAATATCTATCAAGATCAACAGTTAAACCTTGATTTAGGACAGACCTCACAACGATTCTAAAGAGTTGGCCAACTCTGGTAGCAAAGCTGATATCTCAAAAAGGCCGAATATTTATGACCTAAAGGAGGAATCTGAGAAGAAGAGCAAGCGACCAGCCTCTGCTTATGTCTCGACTAAGGGAAATCGGAACACTTCAAATGTAAGTGTTGATAGATAATTTTAGAACCTTGATTTAAACAAGAACAAAGTTTTCTCTCAGGATAAGGTGGTTGTACAAGATAAGGTTATCCTAAGACCAAAAATATTCTTTAATGATCAGACATTTCAATCAGGAATGAACTCTGTTGTGAATAAATCCGCGAGTAAGTATGGTAAACCATACTGCAACCAGAGGAGAATCATGACAGCTGGAGGAAACTCTTGTAGTTCTTATTTTATCATTATTTATAGCTATTGGTAGGAGTCATAGTAAGAGAGTTCAACCAAATACAAATCATCAGCCTTCTGTTGGGATTAATAGAAGTTGTAACGAAAAGCCAACTATTAGTCAATTAAAGTAAGATTAATCTTATGGAAATCATAAACACCATCGATGACTCTTATATTTAAAACTCATGTTAGGTCAATTTTGGTTCTTATTTGACCTAAAATACTCAAAATTCCTGTTTCCACTCTTAATCTCTCAAATAGGTCTAAATAACAAAGAATCCAGTAGCAACATTCAAACCAGTACCCAGCCAACTACAATGAGTGTAATAATTCCCAAATAGCACTCCTGATCCTAACCCAACATCAACCAAGCATAAGCCTGCTGGCATCAGTTACCAGCGATATAATAATCCTATCAATAACTTGAACATCTTCCGTTCTGGCGCTGTCAAAGTGAGCCACAAGAAGGCAAAAATCTCCCCTCAAAAAGGTAAATTTTGTTAAAAATTTATAGTGAATCTAGATAAGAAACCACTCAAGTCTGAACGAATGAAGAACCCGACTGTGGATAGGCCCTTATTTATTAAGAAATTCAAGACTACATCTTCTAAGAACAAGAGGAAGTACATTCGACCTGGCTTCGGAAATATACCTACAAATTCCACTAGCAACGATCAAACCTCCTTCAGGAAACCCCCTCCTCAAAGGCCTTAATCCCACTCAAAAATTGACAAAAAAGTGACCACCCCCTGATTTCGGGTGGCCACTTTTTATCTAATTTTTTACATATATTTTCGGAGGTTCAATAGTTGAAATTGTAGATGGGGTTTTGGGGTTTTGGGGTTTTGGGGTTTTGGGG